CTATACAGTAGAGCGAGAAAGGACAGAATGTCTCAACTACTTGAGTACACAGAGCTGGGAGGGGGTGGGAATGGACATTCCTTACTATAGAAAATCTTTTCTGCTGCCCCGGGCTGCTAACTCGAGGCAAGTTTTTAAAACAACAATCTGCAAACTTTTTGCTGTCAAACTTTTTTTACTGACATATGCTTTTACGTAACGTAAATATAATCCTTCTGTTAGCCCCTGGAAAAGGGTTGAGTTCAAATTTTAGGATTTAATACCAACCAGAGTAAAGAAGAAAAAATGTAGTTGTCAGTATTTAATAAAGTTGTCTTGGGCTGACAACCCTGCTTGATTGTAGCAATGGTTTTACACTGTGCTCCCCACACCCTGATGTCCCTGACTGCACCCTGCACCAGATTGCCTCCCACAGCCTGCCCCCATCCTGGCATGAACCCCCAAAGAAGGATCTGTCTACCTGTGAGCCAACAATGTTACAGGCAGGCAATGGGACACAGCAGCAGCACATGGCTGGGGAGAGGAGGCTATGGAGGCTTCTGTGTACTACAAGGCTCTGAAAGAATACTTCCTGCATGGTGCTGCACTCCCACTTGGATACCATGTGGCCTTGTCTGTCCATCAGGGCTTGCCTCCAGTGTTTCTGATGACGGATCTTCAAGCAAGCTTATGGTAGCTTAATTTTTTTATGGACTTTATGGACAGGTGTTTTTAAGGTCTGTCTATAAATTTATGGAGTTCACAACCCTGCTCAGGCATGGTGTGGCTAACTTGACTGAAGTGCGGAAAGTTCAAGTCTATATATCATGGATGTTCAGGACTGTGAGAACTGATTTGTATGAATTCTGTGAATAAAGTAAAAGCTCTGTGAACTTCTATAAGAAGTGAAAAGAGGCTGTAAATGAGCTGTCTCATCTGATAGACAAAGTGCGCATAAAATGAGCTTCACTCTTGCATACTGCGGGAAATGTATGAGGGATCCACTAGGGGATGGGGGAATGTATAATTTGGAGACATGCAGATGCACTCACCTGATCCAACCTTTGAAGCTACTTTTGAAGTTCGATCAGGTGAGTGTATCTGCTTAGGGACTCTACGTAGGTACAGCTCATGATTTCTGGGTGACATTGAAGACTTGTCAGGATGGAAATTTCTTTCAAGTGTGGGGCTGGTTATCTTCTCTGTTACCTAACCTTATGTTTGATAGACATTGCAAGGAGTGGCATGACGCAGGCCTGGCAATGCTTTCCATTCAAGTGAGGAAAGCTTGGGATGATGGAATGTTGAAGGCCTTGATAAAACAGGACTGGAGTTCAGAGCTTTGTGGGTTACTTTATTTTCCTCTAAAGATGGAACAAATAAATCAGGTTTTAGTAGGGACTGTAAAAATAGAAAGCCTAAAGAGCTGAGGAGATTTGCAGAAGCTTGGGCAGGAGAGAGGAACACTTCTGAAGCAGAAGGGCCTTACTTAACAGTGAGAACAATTAAGGGAGGATATTGATTATACAGAGGTGTGCGTGTGCACACGTGCTTGTGTGCAGAAGGGGGAGAAGAAACTTGTTTGCTTTCTACTACGCCATGACCCTGTTGAAGTAGCCTGGTCTTGAAGATCCCACTGGTTTGGGGCTTTGTATTTTAAACAACTGGGCAATCTGTAGGACCAGCACTAGTCTGGGGGTCCAAGGCAGCACAGGTTCATGATTAAATTTTTGTGAAAAGCTTACAAATGAGAAGCCTGTGCCTAGGCAGTTTGCTTGGTACAGTGTATGAAAGCTTATGCCTCTCTGAATGTGTCTATTGGGTGCCAGCCTGCCTTCTGCTTTAACAAGTATACCTCTGTTTTCTACCTTCCCACCTCCCTGCCCCCCAAATCCCTGCCCACACAAACATATACACACACTTCCCTGGTAGCTCAAATGATGGACCTTGGAAAGAATACATGTTCTCTTCTTCTTTATCAGGTTTGGGCCTACTTCATATTTTTGTATTGCAAATATTACCTAGACGGAGTTCTGGTTTTGGAGAGTTCCTTGAAAAAATGATGAAACAGGAATGAAAGAAGATGGGAGTCCTTTACTCCTGCATCTTGAGCTAAAAACTATTTGCTGGTGCAACTGGTTTTCTATTTTGCTTACAGATTGGGTCACAGTTGTGCACAAGGGCTTACTTAAACACATGAAGATGCTCTCAGTTTTTAAGCTTGTGTCTTTTTTCATCTCCCTATGCTAGCACCAAAAACTAACATGACTATTAATATTAAAGAATTTGGGCGGGGGGGGGGAAGAGAACCTTCCTCCTGACAAAACTATTTGCACAACTGGCCCAAACTGGTAGCATTTGATACAGAGTCCTAGTGGTTAAGTACCTTGATGTTGGGCAGCTATAAATAAAATAATGTGCAGTTGATGAAAGAAGTAGACATTTGAGATAACAGGAAGCTTTATGCAGCAATTAATAAAAGCCAAAGCAATGCATTAAATTTCTATTTTTTTTTCTTTTGCCCAGTTTGAGCTCACTGGCTGCTGAAGGAGACCAGAAAGCCTGAGATTACAAAAGCCCCAAACTATTAAATATTTATCCCAGCTATTTTCCTGACAAATGTTTTGAATTTAAGCCAATAAATGGAGGAAGTGCAAGTGTCCCCTGTGTAAGTACAAAGAACCTTCCATTCTGTGTGTACAAAGTACGGTACAGACTGGGCCTGATCCTTCTGGCACCCTTGTCTAAACCCGGAATCAGGCAGCTGACATCAGTGCTGGCATAAAACCAGCACAAGTGAAAAGGCAGGCCGGCCTTGTAGGCAGGAGAAATCACGACTCAAAGGGAAATATTGCACACCTTTTGTGTTTCCCTAGAAGCTGTATTGTACCAGAAACAGTTTGGAGGATATGTAAAGCTGTCCAATAGGAGCTAAATGAGAGTTTTAGTGTTGCAGGATGTAACTGCCACAAATGGAATTGGACCCTAGTGTTAGGATTTCAAATCTTATGGGTTTTTTTTTTCCCCTGTCCCAAGTGCTGTAAGATCATTGAACATTCATAACTGTGCTTTATTCCTTTGTAACTTGCTTTGAATACATTTTTTGTATACGGCAGCCTACTCCATGTAATGTCTGGTTATGCTCACAGACAACAAGAGCCAGGTCTTGCATTGCTTCACATACAGAACACAATCTCCATTCTTTTTTTGGCCACTTCCAGTTGTCGCTGCCTTGCTCTGGGGACTGCATGGACATTAAACAGGTGTTGGACAGACTGCATAAACAGCATTGGGATTTGGGACCTGGCACCAGAACCCTGGGCTCCTTCCCTCCCAAGAACTGGTCGTCGCAGCAGGAGTTAAGGTTAGGCTTCCTCTTGCTTGTACTTCTGCACCCTATGGCTGTTCTACTCTTGGCTGGCCTGTGATCAAGCTTTGACAGGAGTAAAAGGTGCCCTTAACCTAGCCCAGTGTATAGCTCGGTGAGTAAGGGTATCAGGATGTGGGGCTAAACCTACTCAGACTGAGGAGGGCTAGGTTATCAGGCAAAAAGAATCTGACCATACTGTGGAAAGGGCCATTTAATTAAAAAAGGACATGGCTTTTATGCATGGGGACTCAGCCCCAGGCCTCTGGGCCAGATGTGGTCTGGGCAGCCATGTCATCTGATCCAGGGGGTCTGAAAATTTGGTGATAGGGGATGGGAGGCAGTGTTAATTGCTGTTCCCCAGCTGCCAAGTTTCTGGACTGATGGGGATTTGGCAGGCTGGAGAGTGTGGGTCTGCATGCTAGACTGGGGCTGTGGTGGCATCTGGAAGTTTGGGGCCTTATTTGGACAGTGTGAGGCCCATGGATCACCCCTGTATCACTTACCTGGCCCATAGGAGGCAAAAGGTTGAGTGACCATCACTGGCCTTAGGCAAGTGAGCAGGGCTTGGACTGTAAAACTACTCATTAACAAATGCCTTCCCTAACTCAGGGCTGCAGGGAATGGCATAAAACATGCCAGATGCCAGGAGAGGGGTGAAATCCCAGAGGTAGGCTCTTCTGCACTTGCTGTTGGCTGGCATAGGCATCCTCTACTTCTCTGGCTAGCTTCTGTGAATGTCAACCCAAATGTACTTGAATGTCTCCACTGGGGAGGCCCGATACTTGGGTATTTCTAGGCTTACACATCAGTAGGATTTTTCAGAAGTGTCTATGCAGGTTAGTTGCATCTCTAAACCTAAATAACTTTAAACATCTGTACATTATTATAGAGGGTAGTATTTCCAAGACTGCCTTTGGTCTCAATTCCTATTCGTTTCAATGGGAGTTGGGAGGTGCTAAATCTACACTGGCTGTGAAAGTTACAACCTAGCTCAGGTATCTTGGAGCCCTCCTACTCCGCTCATTCTATTAGTTGGTAAGTATGAAAGGGTTACATTGTTAGTGTCCTGTCACAAACAAAATCCAGAGCCTTTTGTGCATTTGCCTCTTTATTCTACAACACAAGCAACATAAATACAGTTTGTTATAATTTGTTTTAAAATATTTTTCCTTAAGAATTCAATTTGAATAAAATATACACAAAATACATTTTGCAAGCTGACTTACGGTGACTAGTTGGACAATGGACACAATGACTGAACATAACAGCACAAAAGAAAAGCAGGTTGAGGGTAGTGTTTTCTTGTGCCTGCATAAGGACACAAAGGAAGAAGAATGATCCAAGATGACTAAAATATTTAGGAATCATGCCTAGGTGAGCACTAGATGACTACACATGAACTCTATGGAATGGAAACCAAATGTATTAACTCCCTTTAACAAGGCCATTTAAAATTTCTGGAAAATTATCGGGGATGCCTCCTGCATATATAACCGCAGGGGTGAGGTCCTGGGAACAGAATTGTAATTGAAGATGTCTATTATGGCAGTTATTACCATGGGAATACTGTAGTTTAAGTCTACTTTCATTTAATTTCCAAACAGGAAAGAGTTAGATCTTTGGCATAATTGTAAGAGGGCAAATGGAATATGTACTCCCTTTGGCTTTATTTTCAATTCACTGAAAGAAGGAAGTGGTATTGGGATACATTAGTGTTTGTTACATCATAAACCGCAAACAGTTACAACTGGGGAAACTGAATGAGGACGCTGGAGGCTCCTGTCACAGGCTCCAAGTCCCATATTGCAGTCTGCTGCAGCAAACCCACACTGTATACCTCATTGACCAATGTGCGATGTTGCTGCAGCAACAGTGCTCTTCTCATCTTACTAAGTTGGCGTAGAGCTGGATGCTCTTATATGGAGCTAGGCTCTAAGAGGTAAGAGCCATTTTGATTCTGGCTTGGGGGGTTTGTCTCATAACCCACATTTTTCCAATCCAGCTGGCAGTTGTTTTGGTTACTTCTGGTCAAGCATAACATTTTTATGCCTAACTTTCTCTCTTTCTCTCTCATGTGGCCTAAGGCAGAGCCTTGAAATAGAAAGTCAAGCCTAGATTCTCAAATGAGCAAGTAAAACTAGCTAAGTTAAGTAGCTATATGCTTCTGAGGATGTGGGCTTTGGTGTCACAAGTGTCATATGCCAATAGAATCAACTTTTCTTTAACAACAAAACAAAACACAATTACTGAGAATAAATTCTTTACAATGCAAAAGTGTATGAATACCACATAGTGAATTTTGGTCTGAAAGGAAGGGCGAGTAAGACAAGTTTATGCCAGTGTGAGTCAGTCCATCCACTGATTTTCAAAGAAACAGATTTTTCCTATTGAAAATTTCAACCTTAACTTCTGAACACTGAAGAAATTATCATAAATGCAAATTTTGCAAAAGCAGACTTTGCCATGCCACTTGGTTTTGTTTTTTGATGGTCAGATAAGCTACTGCTGGCCAAATGTTTTACCACAACTGTTAGGTACATTCTGATACTGATTGTGTTGAGGAAGAGGCCTGGCGGAGTGTGCATTCAAAGGTGCAGCGTTAGTTAGATTGAGGTGGTGGACCCAGAAAAGAGGCAGTGATTTTTTTCCTACACATATGCAATAGGTAGCAAAGCACCCTGGTGTATCCTTGGTGAGGGCTGCTGGGCCCTCATGTGAGCACTAGTGAGAGCAAGAAGTATGGGGGAAAATGGATTCCTAGCAGCAGAGGGTATTGTCTATATTATATAAAATCAAACATTGTGCTTTTGCGCTATGCTATCTTGGTCCTTTTGCATTGTATTATAAAAAAATGAGTGCAATTACTAATGCCTTTAAAATCTGGGGTGGGTTAGAAAAGGACATTCTACCTAAATTAAAAACTATCAAAAAGTTGTACCTGGACTAATTATGGCATGTGGTTGAAAGCTCCATCTTATAAAACTTCCCACAAAAGACTTTGCCAGTAGAACGTTAAAAAGGGCCACCTGCATGGAGTCTGTGCATCTCACAAGCAGAAATGTGCAGTGAGAGAAGGAATTGGATAGCTTTGTAGTAAAATTCCAGTCCATCCATACTTCCAGCATGAGCCATTCAGCATTAAAGTAACTGAAGCTGTCAAAAGCTTTCACACAGGAAATGTGGTTGGGGAATTGATGACTTGGGCTTGCATGGTCAAGCATCAAATCTATGCACTAAACATCAAGTCTATGCAACCTATGCTGTGAAACCCAGTGGCTTTAGTTTGCAGGGTCTTGTCTAGATACATGTCTGCTCCTCTGGATATCCAGATGTCTCTGATGACTACAAAGAAATCCAAGCTCCTGGGAACCTGAAAAAATATTCAGAACACATGCATGTGTTCCTTTTCTCATCCAAATGTCACTGGTGTGGGACTTAAGTCATTCAAAGATGCTTAGCGGTCTAACTCTCACAGAGATGCCTATATATTTTGGGTATATGGCATTTACATTCCTCAAGAACACAAAACACTCAGGAACTTCACAGCATTAAGTTTCTCTCTTGGAAGGAACATTCACGTTTCATTAGGGTCCTAGTTTGTGGATATGCAGGAAAAATACTGACGCTACTGGGGTGTTGCCCAAAGTACAGAACTGCATTGTGGGTACGTGGTGTGCAAAATGGGAAAGCTACTGAGGAGATGCTGCAAGTTGCAGCGGTACAAACCTCTCTTGTTTGAGGGATCTACTTTTTGTTCAGCCTGGATCCATGCAGACTTTATAGCCCATGAGTTTAGCTATAAATCTAGATTTAAATAGATTGAGAAGCACAAATTAAAACTCAAAGAATGTCACCAGATTTCAAGTCAAACATGAAACTGAACATTGCTTGGGAACTTTGGCATTGATGTAAAAAATCACAAACTGAGCCAACTTCATGCACACCAGTGAATATTTGGATGAATCTAGAGCGAGAGTTTTTAGCTTGCAACAAAAATACAAACACAGATAACTTGTATCTGGTTGGAGATTTTGCAATAAAAGCTTCACATGGGTTTATGTATATCTTCCTTAACAGTTCACTTGTTAAGAATGTATACAATAGACTTCAGCATAGTAAGTGCGTGTGGATTCACAAATCTCAATGGCATCCTTTCTAAAAGGTGGCATTATCATTCCATTGAGAGCCACAGTCTCAGTATGCCAGATCTTGGGACACTTGCACCATTTAATCCTTTCTAAGGCTGCTGGATGTAGGCAAAGGGTAACATGCTGAAATTTCATGGAGTGCTGTCCTAATATACCCACCCAGCAGACACCATCATTGGGCAGACTGACATGTTAATAGCAGTACAAATTAGGCTAAATAGGGTATTAATATGGCCACCACTGTGTGCATGTATCTACAGTGCCCCAGGACTGTAGTGAGAGGCACTATACAAGTGTGTGTAAACACACACTGAACAAAGTATATCTGCACATAAACACAATATGCAGCTATACAGGCATACTTGCATACAATGGCATTCTCTTGGCATATCCTGAAACATGCCGATTAAGAGCCAGGATCCAATACCCTTACTCAGGCTGAGTAGCACCTTATTCTGCCAGCATTTCATTTATTTCTACCAGAAATTTGGTGAGTAAAGTACTGCTTGATGTGTGGAAGGTGACTGAGTCCTGGCCCGCAGCAATCATCTCGTATAAGCGGTGTCTGAAAAAACCTAATTAGATTAGGTCTGACTTCTTTGTTAACCACCCTGAAAGAGAGGTGAAGCAAAAAAGATGCAGGTAGCACAGCTGGAAATACCTACCTGTATGAAACCTGTGAATTTGCTTGCAGGTGATAAATATTATTATTAGTTGTATTTTATTAGTACCTAAGCATTCCAATCCATGTAATTCATGCTGGGTGCTTTTGGGACCATTTATCCATCATTAAGAGCCACTGAAATACATTGCATTAAATCTCATTCCTAGCAATCATTCTGGTTAATGAATATGCTATTAGAAGGGATTTACACAAATAATGCATAAATAACCACACCTTATCATAGGAATTTCTGGTGAGAAAGAGAATTTGCAAGTCTTTCTAGTCTTAGAAACAGCATATAATAAAATAAGCATTAGATGTAGCTCAGATTATAAATGTTGATGCTCTGTCAATCAGGTTATGGTGTGTACGTTTTTTACAATACATGGCTTTATTTTATTAGTTTAAAAAAATGCAACATGCAAACCAAACGACGAAGCAAAATCAAACAAAAGGCTGCATTTGCAAGCTGAAATTGGCTTCACTCGAGCTGGAGGGTCAGAAAAAATGAGGGGAGCCTATGATCTTGTCTATTAAATAGAGGGGCACATGTCAAAAGTGACTAGATAGTTCTACAAACAATATCCAGGACTGCCATGCAACACTTAAAATATTCCCTTAAGGTCCACCTTGACAGGAGAGCCCAATAAATACTACATATGCAAAATTCAAAAGAGTTTTCAAAACGGGAAAAAGAACAAAACAGATTCATGTCATCCTATCAGAGTAAAGGATCAGTTTCTTCACTGACAGAAAGAAGGGGGGAAAAAATCTCATAACATACTGCAAAGGAGGTATTTACAAAGAGTTCAGAAGTTGACAGAACTTGTACATTCACTGTCTTCAGTTCTTTAAGAAAAACGAAACAAAACAAAAAACCCAAACTCCCCCAAATCCAACACACACACACACACACACACACAAAAAACAATGGAAATAAGGAACACAGAAGCAAGTGAGATGAAGAATCCAGTTCTTAACCCAAAGCAATGAGGACCTGTAAGCAAACTCAGGCTCTTGGTAATGCACTGTAAGCCAGACTGATTTTTCAAGGCTCTAATGATTTCTCCAATTAATGCTGAAACTGCAATATGCTGCCTTGATCTTGTGTTATGCTACCAGAGCTTGCAACAAGGGCTTTAATGATTTATGTTAGGGAGTGCTCTCTTGTGCGTTGAAAGGAATATTTATTGTTTGGAAATCCAGTAATCTCCTCTATCAAAGGAGGTGGTACCACACCCACCAGCATCTTGTTTTAGTATTCCAACTGGATTAATACTGAAGGACCTTAAGGCATTTTCCACATGACTTTTCTGTAACTTTCCTCAACTGAAACCTAGTCAAATTAACCAAGAGGAGTTTCTAGTACTCCACTGGCCCTGCATCCCAGTGGCTAGTTTTTGAAGATTTACAGTCACATTTTCGTATTTAAAAAAAATGCTTTGCTACCTCCTCTGCTGCTTTGTGAAACAGCCACAGAAGACAAGAGGGGAAATAATGAAACTGCTCTAACAGAAAGATCTGGCAAAAGATGCACAATAACCTTGAACTGTTTCTCGAATCCTTTGATTATAATGTGATGCATCTGCAACAACCCAAAGTAAAAAAAAATCAAAAAAAAAAATCAGCTGAAATATTATTTTCAAAAGGAATATTCTTTGCATTTAACTTTGGTAATTAGAGGACTTTTTATTGGGACAATGTACTAACATGGATGAAGTCCTGATCCAGGACCAGGGGGTGTTATGTAGTACAAATAAATAATCATCACAGACACTCCCTACACTGAGAAAAGGCAAACTCCTCAAACTATGATATCTCAGAGACCTGGAATTAGGGAAGAAAGGAACACAAGGCCTAAATCTCAGTTAACTCCTGCCTGACTTTGGGGAAGGGATAATGGTAGGGATGGTGTGAAAGATGCCTCTAAAGCCACAGTCACCATCTTAGGCTGTGCAATGGCTTATTCACTTTCTAATGTAAATCACTTCACTTCAAATACTGCTCTCAGTATCTCTTCCTTTTCAGGACACAACAAGCAGAAAACAGCTAGTATAGTGCAATCAAATAGGCCCCAACATGCCCCCATGGCAGTGAACTTGGAACAAACCTGGGGGAGAGCTCATCACTGGCAGGGGAGGTAGTCTTTGCAGAAGCTACTGTCAAGAGGCTGTTTCTACTCACTAAAAGCGTGCCTTAAGTTACCAGATCAGCAGTAGTGGGCCTGCTGCATTTGTATTTTTTTCTCAATTTTTTTTTCTACACAGTTAATAGACTTAAATTATCAGAAGTTTTCTTTTCTTCTTCCTTGTTATTTTATAAACTTTACAAAGCAAAAATAACCCAACAAAAAACACAGAGCGTTCTGGCAGCCTAGTGTCCTGTTAATGTCCTGTCATTAAATATCCCCATGGACTACTAAGTGCTTTTTCTATTTAACAATTCTTTGCATGATGACCATTTCCTGATTTATTAATTTAAAATATACCAGTAATACTCTTAACACAACTTTGCTTATTTCCTATGACTATCTCCCAAGGGGAGCTGGGGAGTAGAGGCACTGATGGTAATAGTGGGCACTTAATGTGGTCACTTAAACAAAAAAGCAGCTTAAAATACATGGTTGGTTATCCATGACCTGAGCAATTGCTACTAAAAGGTGCAGAAGTAGCATTTGCAACAAGTAGCTGTGAGTGAGGGTGGATGAGGAAGTTGGGTCACATCTGGCCAGTGTCAGCTACTAACACAAATCTTACACATTATGCTCTCTCAGAAATTATCAATGTAATATAGTATGTCCCAGCATACTGGATCTGATTCTGCATCCAGCTTTATACAAACAGCACCCCTGAAACTTACTTCGGTTTTAAATTCGTTCAGTAACTCCCAATTCAACACAGTGTCACAGAGACTGAAATTTGGCCAATGTACATTTTGTAAGAAAAGAGGAAGAGACTGTGGTAGTCCGCACATAACAAAAGTGGGCTACAGACTACTCTTACTATATTCAGAAGTAAAGGCAGTGATAACAACGCTCAATAAATAGCCTTATACGGTTACTTAAATATGAGTGAACCACAGTGAAGATAATGCTACAACAAAGGCCAAGCTACCCAAAGGCTGTATGTACCAAGTAGAAAATTAGAACTGGCTAGGACTTTATTTTTATTTAAATCTTCTTTAAAAAAAAAACAAAAACAAAACACCAATGTGTCCTGTTGGCAGGAGAAGGTATCAATGAATCTCCTGGTTTCAGGAGGAAACCCCCCCCCGTGAAACCACTGATGTATTTGTTGGGTCAAAATGCTTTTTATAATTTCAGTAATTAACTGAATTTCTTGTAAAAAAATAGCTATCAAGTTGAAAAAGAAATGGAGCATTTGAAGTTACTGAAGTGTAGCGATTCAGGTTTAGGGAAACTTTCAAGATTTTTGTTCAGATTTGATAGATTTGTTGTGGTTGACAGCTCAACAATTATCACACACAAAACAGCTCTGGGGGATGATTGGGTGGCTATGAGGGCGGCTGGTTACAGCTCCCTGGTTTTTTGCATTTATCTGGCGAGTGTAACTAAAGAATTCTAGGGAACACAAACCAACAGACAGTTAAGTGCCTTAGTCCCACAGAAGGAATAACATTTGGGGTAAAATGTCAGCATTGCTGGTTTAATGCCAGCTGAGGTCTTTTCACTGTATCGCAGAATGCTCAACTCTGGCCATATAACAGGTCTGAACAGTGAAAAGGAGCCAGTTCACAGGAAAGAATCTGGCAGTCAGACTTCATCCATATGAATGCTGACGCTGCCCCCGTGTACTGCAGCCAGTTCTGACCGATAAATGATTGTGGAGAACGTTTTGCAAGTAAGAGTCTCAAGAAGGATTCTCTACTGAACTAAAAGCTAGTCTTGGAAGTGACTCCAAGTTCTTTTGTTGATTTGAAGCTGAATGCTGACATTCTTCCATCAAACACTTTTGGCTTTAATTTCCAAAGATGTTGGTAGTTTAAGGGAAAAAAACAAACAAACAAATGAACTAGACTGGATACAAAGGTGGATATCACAAACCATACTTGACCAATTATAGTCTCAGGTAAATTTTCAGATGTAGGGCTTAGAATGTACATTGGCTAGATCCAGTTAACTTGCGTGGAGAGGACAGATATGCTTTTAGAAAGGGGACAACATGTACTTTTATGCAATTCAAGAAGAGAGCCAAAGTTGTACCTGATGGAAAAGGGTGCAAACTCTTGGGAAAACGGGGCTTAAGATGGAAATGTACATTTAGTTTCTGTGTACAGTTGTTAAAAGATTAAGTACACCAGAAGGTCAACCAGAAGTATGATCCTAAGCAACAAAATGATGCCCCCTGTCAGGAGGGATGCAGTGCATTTCATGTATCCAGAGGACATTTCTCTATGCATTACTATGCACATGCATCAGCTGTATGTTCAAAACTACAGGGAGGATATTGGCTGTTTTAATCTGCAGCCCTTCCCTCCTCCCCAGGATTTCCTGGAGTAATCCAAAATACTTGACTATCAGAAGCTTAGGTCCTAGTCCTGCAAAGGACTCTGCAGCTGCCTGAAATCTCTTAAACTGAAATGGTGTTTTGCCCTCATGTTGTTCCTTGTAGAATTGGGGTCCGGCTGTTGGCCAAGTTTCACTTTTTATAAGGAAGATTTTCTTTTTGTGTTACACTAACATCCACACACACACCATTTGTAGACATTGCACAAAGAGGCAGGGGCTGAGAAAACTAAAAGTGGACTCTGTCCAAGACAAGAGATCACTGGCCAACTGAGGAGTACCACTACCACATCTTATCTACTTTGACTCTACTGATCATGGAGAACTGGTAATGGGATAAATTCAGTAGTGAATAATGGCAGTCCCCAGGGCTCCAGCAGGCATATAGGCTGCCTACAGATGTAGAAAAAACACAAACAAATGCTTTACTTTGAGCTTGGTGCACCCCCATGCTGAGCCCAGCACCTGCTCAGAAGAGGCAGTGCGTTAGTTGGACCTGGCTCACTCACGGTCTGTGTAGATTGGGCACTTTAGTGGGGCTTTTTTGGTGCTTTTATCTAGAAGCTAATTGAATTAGCCATTACATAAAAGTGCCCCAAAACCCCGCTGAAGTTACCAATCTATACTGATGCTGAAGATATAGGTCGAACTAATGCGCTGCCTCTTCCAGTAAAGCGTTCTCCCCCGCCACTTCATGTCTGTCAGCAGCCATAATAGTTATATCCCCGTGTCTTTCTTAAGTACAAACATAAACACTAATGCAATTTGGAGGGCTCTCTGATGTGTAGAGTATACTTGGTTAAGTACTTGGTGATGTCACAACCCTTCTTTCAGTCTGCACTGTGGCTCACGGGTGTATATTTCCCACTAGCTTCACAGGAAGAACAATTTATTTCCCTTAGCAGATGGACATGGAAGGAATGCAAGAGCAATCCATTTTGTGGTAGAGAGGAGAGGGTTCTGTTGTGTATATAAGCTGTTGATATGTCAGCTAGGGATTAGGACCACAATGCTGCCTTTGAAACCATGCTCTATGTGCTGGCAACAAAAAGCAGGCAGCATAGGTTCTGTGATATCAACTTTAGGCCTTTGAAGGCTTCTATAATATAGGGGCAGACCTCCTGGGTTGGGGTTTGAGTTTATCCATTCCATAGCTAAGATTTTCTGATGTTGTTGAGCAAAGCAGCTATGCTACACTCCAGATTGCAGACCTTAGTTGATTCTATAGCTTTTTAGGTTTTACTTAGCAGTAGGATCAAACATGTTTTTATATGTAATAATCTTTAGTTAGATTTTTCTACCCTGGTGTGTGTTAGCTTCATAAGGGGGAAAAAAGCCCCAAAAGATTTCCTTAAGCAAATAGCCAAAGATGACTAACTTCATTCCTCAATGTTTTCCTTTCTGTTCTTCTATGATCTGCATCTGTGACTTAGGCAACACAGCTGTCTGCATAACTGTTTTTTCAAGCACAGTCACAGGACTGACTGTGCTTAAGTGAGAGTTGTGAGCACAGATAACTGTAGGTGCAGTTTCAAGACTTGTAATCAGAGGAGCCCTCACTATCACATGTTCAGAAATGGAGATCAGTTACTGCCATACTGAGAATTTTGTGCCTGCATCTTGGGATTTATAATCATCTTCCAAAAGAATTTTTGTTATGAACATGATCACTTTCATCCTAATCTTATTCAAAATGATTTGGACTCTCTCTGCACTGCAGAGCAGATTCACATATAATCTGCAGTTTCAAGACTGAAAATGCCCACTGTGAAATTTACTGAGCCTTTATGTACCAGCCTGATTTACTAGCAGTTGTCAGATTAACCCCTTGACATCATTTCCTTTGCTGGTGTGAGACATATAATCTGAAATGGGCAGAGAATATGCTGAGGAGCTCACTGTTTCAGAATTTAATCAAGGTAGGCAGGTGAATGTATAGCTCCTTACTGGTTACACATTTCAAATATAACCTTCAGTAACTGCATTTTTTTCTGTGTACCTTTTGATTTCTTCTCCCTTGCTAAAGGAGTGTGTATATCTTTTAGACAATGATATCATAGACCCGACCGACTCTTCCCAGCCATTCTCTCACAGCCTGACGGACGCGGATGTCAGTCACGTGGCATGTCAGCTGACTGATGCAGGGGAATACTGCTGGTTGGAGGGCTGTGAATGTTTGGTCTGGCAGGGCCTGGATCTGGTTGAGAACAGTCAGTACCATGTTAGTCCAGGCCTGAAATAAATGGAAAAATGAGAAGGTAAATTAGCTTCACTGAGAGGCTACACCACACTATAAACCTCAATCTGCGATCAGCCAGTGCAAATCAGGGGGAATTGCAGTGAAGTCAACAGAATTACACCAGTGATGTAAGAGAGAAAGCAGTCAGGCTTTTATCTCAATCCCATCTCTACACTTTACAGATTTTAAGATGTATCGCCTGTTATTATAACCCACTTCATCACCATCACCAGGAAGCCTAACCTTTTGCTCTTGGGAAAGGAGGTTAGGCCACAAGGTTAGTCCCACCCCTTGACAGGTGCCCCGCCTCCTGGTTACCATCTTGGGACCAAAAGTCCTTCCCCTTGCCTCAGAAGTACTCCTGTTGGGGCAGAGGGTGCTGCCATCTTGAAACAGGAAGGAAACCCCCCCCAAATCATAATAAAAAAAAAAAAAAAAAAATCAAACATCTACTATACCTTATTTTAATTTTATTTAAAAAAAATATTTTTGTCCTGATTTATATGTGCTTGCATAGTGTATCTAGAGGCAATTGCACAATAGCTCAGAATACAGATTTACTCTTGCATATTGTGTGGGGGGGATAAGGGGGTGTATGTGGGAGGTGTGGTTGGGGAGTGAGGGCTGTGTGGTGGATGGTGTGGGAGGGTGTGTTTGGTGGAGGGTGGGGGTGTGTGGAAATGTGTGGGGGGCTGTGGAAGGGTGTGGGTGTGTTTGGGAGAATGGTGG